AAACAGTACAGATGAAAATACTTAGAAAATTGATAGTAAAATACTATGGGACATAGCTAAAAGTACATATATATACGACGTAGATGCAAGGTGGGGAACATCAAGAACTGGGTAAGAAATAGAAAAGTGGAATAAAACGATCATATAAACCGAATGACAACAAATAGAGTAGTAAAGACGGAAAGGGACGGTTCCCCAATAAGAAGACGTAAGACGATCAGTAGGAAGATCACGTAAACGGTGGAACAATAACTTACTGGAGGCATATTGAAAAACAGACAGTTATGTCCTTATCAAAAGAAGAAAGAATAAGAAAGTGCTTGGAGTTCCTGGTTATGTCTTCGTCGTCACTCTCCTGTTATCAAGGCTCTACGAGGCCCAAAGATCATCCGGTGGATTTTCGTTCTAAGGCTAATAATTTTGTTGTTTCACGCTGGTCAAGTGTCCAAGTCTCACTTCCATACATACTATCTCTTTCGGCTGTTATCACTGCTCCCAAGTATTTGAATTCTTTGAAAACCTCAAAATTGTATTCATTTATCGAAATAATTTGTCACCTGCCACAGCAGGTGACAGCAGCATCACAAAGTTAAATAAATAATAAGTTAATCAAACAAAAAAGCATTGTTTAAGAATTTTTGTATCTAGACTAGCATAAAAAGCTTCGTTATCGTATGTTTGCAGTAATTATTTTGATCTGCGTATGTTCACTAACAATACTACAAACATTTTCTCCTTTTACAGGCAATGAAAAAACATTAGACACAAAATAAAACAATTTCATATTAACATAGATAGCGTTTCTTTCACTTATTTTGCGATAATTGTCGCTATCTCAAAGTTGTTTTGAATTTAATATTACATAAGGAATAATGTATCAAAACTAATAGATATAAATATGTTTGTAACAGCAATGTTTGAAATGTAACTTTGTTCAATGTTTGAATGGAACTAAAACGCAATAAACATTAATAATCTGTTTCCTCCAAAAATAAAATCATTTTTCCTGACCATGCACAAGTAACATTAAAGTCTATTTATAATCAAAAAGATAAATATTTTAATAACAAAAACAATGTTTTAATTTGTGGAAATTTTATGGAGGATATAAGTGTAACGTTGTATTTTGAGTATAAACACATTGCAGTAAAGTTAAAGATTGAATGGTACAAATGACACATGGATAACAAATTTTGTGTTTGTATGACGAATATAGGTATGGATAATTAAGTATGTATCTATGATAAACCTATTGTAAGTAACTGGTGTAGCGTTTAATCAAGACTACATTCAGAGCAAAGCAGAAAAAAAGGGAATAACAGAATTTTAAAGAAAGCATGGGAGAACTCATGAACCCAGCGAAAAATAACAAAAGTTTAGTTAAGTCAAGTTCTAACATTAAATACAATCTACAAAAATTTCATAAAAGAATTTTTTGTGCACATTTAAATGTTTATAAAGCTACAAATAAAGTCAGATTATTATTGCAAATTGCTGGGTCATATTTTCAATGATCTTAAATGTCATCGCACAACTGGATGATAAAAGTTCCCATGTAATTTCAGTGAAGAATTGTTTTTTATCCTAACTAGTTGAAATAGTTACAGTACAGTACATAGTTACATACAGTATCTCGTTCCATGCCCCATTTAACTCCTCCCGAAGAGTTCTTAAAGTTTGAGGAGGGTGCACTAAATTAAGAAGTCTTGTGAACCATCATGTCTCAAAGTTTTCAATTGGGGATAAATCTGGGGATCTCGGCCTCAGTCTAATCAAAGAAGTCCATGGTGACTTTTGCAATATGTGGCCTTGCGTCCATCTAAAAAATGGATGTTGGACTGTCTGAAAGTATGATATCCCAGAATTTGTTCTACCTATCGCTGAGCTATCATATTTCCTCTGAGAACGATTTGAACTGATCTTGAACCATAAGCAATGCATCCCACACCATAACCCCAACAGTGAAGTTAACACGACGTTCGACAAAGAACTTCGCATTTCATTTTTTACCACGCTGTCTTCTGACCCTGACATTGCTAAATAGAATCGAGATGCATCATTAAAGACAACTCCGTTCCATTCTTGGTACCAAGGCAATCGTTTCCTGTGCCGTTCAGGACGATTACGTCGATGTTTATTGATAAGAGGTTGCACCCAGTGTGACCGAAATGGAAAAAGGCCAAAACTGCTAATTCGAGAATAAATTGTTCGCATTCCAATTAGTCTTCCAAATTCTGCAAACCAATGATTTGCAATAGGCCTGGTAGTGAAGAACCGGTCTCTTAAACAATCAACCTTAGACGACTATCTTGACGCTCTGTACGGCGCCGCCCTGTGTCACTTGATCTCAGCGTTTGGCCTTCTTGAGGCCATACCCGATAACATCTTACACAATATCTAAATTTCTGTTAACCCTATTCATAATTTCCAGTCTGGTTTACTGGTTTTTCTTATACAGCTATCCGCTCCCTATCAACTCGCTCAGTTGATGGAAATTTGCTCGTCTTTATACCGTAGACATTGTAAACAACTTTCAAAAAACCACAGGCACCACAAAAGTGAAAATTTTTAGTGGTTAGCAAATTGATAAAAAAAATGAATAAAAACGAAAACTAAACTAATATGGCTGAAATTCTAATCATTTTTATTGTTTTTGCCGAGATAAGCTTGTATACTAAATTTTATCAAAATAAAATAATTTATAAAGGGTGTTCTGATTTCTGTCATTTAGCATATACATATTCAAACAGAAAGCCAAGAAAGCAAATGGTTTAATAAGGTTAGATGTATTCAAGACGAAAATAATAGAATACTTATGTTCACGAATAAAAAAATGTCAGAAAACGATTGAAAAAATACAAACGAAGAAGTTGCTTACGGTGTTGGGCTGTTAAAAAGAAAGAACTACGAATTCGTGTGTATGAAATAAGAATACTTAGACGGATCAGTGCTTACAAAAAAGGATAAAATTAAGAAATATTATTTAAGTCTAGTTAGTTTCACCAACTGATTCAAAATGAGAGGGCATAGGTTAAGATGGTTACAGCATTTTAAAATCATAATCACCCAATACAAATAATTTAATAATGAAAGGAGTAGGAAAGAAAGACCAAAGAAGAATTGGTATGAGACGATTAGGCAGAACATGTCTGTTATGGGAAATGTTCAAAGCAAAGAAAGAGCTAGGAATACCAAATCAGTTGGTAAATATAACAAAACAAATCTTGAAAAAGTTAAATGTAGAGTACGAATTTAGAGCAACTGTCTGAACCTTTCAAAACAAATAAAATGCTTCAACAGGGTGACCCTCTCTCCTGTATACTGTTTAATCTGGCCCTGGAAAAAGTAAGATGTATGTCACAAATCACAATCATTGGTTCAATATATAATAAATCAGTGCAAATCCTTGCCTATGCTGATGATATCAATATTGTTGGGAGGACGGAAAACATTGTACGAGAGGCGTATGTAGCATTAAAAGAATCAGTTACAAAAATAGGTTTATTAATAAACACAAACAAAACTAAGTATATGAAAATAAGCACGCAACCCCACAAATCCTACGACCACTTCTTATAGAAAACGACGTCAGCGAAGCAGTGAACGAATTTGTATACCTGGGAGGGCTATCAAAGTGGAGCCATAACCTCTTTTGGTATGAAGACCAGGCGATGCCGGCTGGGTGGCTACGATCATCACGCAACAAAACCCCCGTCAACCGAAAACTGGCCTAATCCTGATGGTCTGTTCCTCCCCGTTCCGATCCGGAAAGTAACAGACCAGCAGCGTATGGCCCTTTGTGGCCCGATGTTTGGCCAGTTCTAATCGTGCGTGAGTCTGACCATCCCCCTGTAACGAAAACTCTGCCAAACGCTCTATCGCGGGCTTAAAAAAATAGCTTGATAACAAAAAGGTGTTATCGTAAAGTTTGAAAATAGTAATAAAAATGTGAATATAAAAAAGTAAATTTAGACATTCACAGACATGAATAGACAACACAAACATCTACGTGGTAAGGATAAAATACCTAACTAGACGAACGTAGATCCCACGATAGGAAGAAGCCGATATGAAATACTCGAAAATAAAATTCTCATAAGTCATTTATGTTAGGACCTCATAAAGACTATGAATATGGATACTAACCTGAATTGCCTTTGTGATAAAATTGCGGACGTCGAACCTTGAAAGGTATAAAATTCTCATGACACGAGAATTCGACTGACACCATGTTCCGCGAGCTCCCACGATTAAAGGTGTCAAGCAAATCTGTTTCCCTGGATATCGGGTCCGCATACCCTCAGGACCCTCCCAGCTGACGGCAACGTCCACGACAATTACCCGCTCACCCTGTTGCGCGACAAGGTCAGGTATTTTAACACTGAAAATAATACTACCGCAGAATTTGCACAGCCAACAGATGCTATTTATGGGTCAATCCCCTCCTTAACTCCACAATTACATCGAGAAATACAAAACAAAACTGTACAAAACAATATGACAATGAAGAAACCGATATAACTTCGAACTTTATAAAATATACCAGGAACCAGATATCGTAAAACATATTAAGATAGGAAGTCTGAGGTGGATAGGACATGTAATGCGGATAGAACAAAATAACCCAGCTAGGAAAACGTTCTTTGATAGACCCATTGGTCAGAAAAGAAGATGAAGACCCACAAGGTTCCATGAAACATCAACGAATAAAGATGACTGGAGTAAAATTCTTGAGGAAGTTAGGACCCACACAGGGTTGTAAAGACAGAATGATGATGATGTCTGTTAAGGGGATTGATATGACCCAATATAGAAACTAATGGAGAAATATAATTATGGAAGGCAATAAATGTAGAGAATCACGATGAACAGGACTTATACATTGCTATATTGGAAGCACTAAGATAGTCACAATTACATACGAAGTCTTGAAAACACAGTGGACTTGAGACAAAGGGTAAAAGTTATGTTACAATACGCGCGAATAAACGTGTACTTACCATTGTTGTTACCAGATTGTTGAGAAGGTGGCGTGCCCCATCCAGAAGTACCAGTGCTAAGGGAACTCTCGCCTCCCCCTCTAAGTCTCAAAGGCTTGTACAGCTCTTGATAGCTGTTGTCATTATTTGTGCAAGTATGAGTTTCAATGTTCGACATTTGGTATGCATCATGGTCGTCTTTTTCATCGTTGTTATCGCAGAGTGTTTTAGTATCGTATTTAGTTGAATTCAGTACATTGAGGTCATCGCGTAGTAGTTCGAGGTCATCAGACTTTTGATTGGGAATGTCTCGTCCGGGGAGTAAAGCACCAAACTTACTAACTAACTTAAAGCTATTATTGTGGGTGACCATGCCATGGTCTAAACGTTGCATATTTGGTACGGTAACAGAGTTCAGAAGACAATTTTCGGTCACAGATTGCATTCTAATATTAGAGTTGTCGATTGAACGGCAACTTGAGCCGGATATCACAGACAGAGCGCCTTCATCGGCGCAACGGGTACTACTTGGGGGATCGGCTCGACCCCCCCAAGATGGCCCTGCAACTTGTACTGGGGGTGCGCTGCCCCTCATGGCTGACTTTTGAGGCACTTGGTAGGTAGGAAATGTAGACTTCGGCTCGGAGGGGGTAGGGGCGCGCATCTTCAATAGTGCTCCATATCAGTCTGGCCAGCCAGAGATCTGAAACAAAATAATACAATATACATCAAAGGTTATAAGACAATGTACACATCTAAATGATATTAAATTCATATTTAGCAGCATATTAATATAGCACGGTAGTCTAATATTTCTTGGGCTTGGTATATAAAGAATGTAAATAGGACAGTGCTACGCTTCAACCGCCCATTGTTACCCCTGGTTGTGCTTTCATTTGCTTTTTTAATACCTAATATGTATTGCGGCAATAGTCACTTAAAAATGCACAGTGCATTTAGCGAAAACAAGACAAAAAATAATCAAATTTAAATAATTTAAGAAAGTCGATTATCTGTGCGCGAGATAGCGCTAGTGCTCGGAGAATCCCTGGAAGCCATTTGCTTCTTTTGTTGTCTGCCGCTGTGTGTTACGCGAGTGTGTATTACGAATGTGTGAGGTTTAGTTGCGCACTAGAAAAGAATGGCTACTCTGCGATTATTTCAACACGTGTTTTAAGTCACATTTTGTTTCAAAAATGGTAACAACAAATGTTAAACGCAAGAAAAACGTTTTCCTCGAAAATCTGTATGGATCGACTTTTCAAAAACTCGATGAACCACTTTTAAACCACTCGATGAAGTAGTTCTTGCAGGAAAGATGGGAGGGAGTACCAATCTCTATGCCAGCGTGTGTTAGGCCGGTGGAAATTTATTACGAATACTTGAAAATCAAAGAACCTTTCAATGCATCCAGTGGTTGGTTACATCGATTCAAAAAACTTCACGAGATTCGTGAACTCACCATTCAATGCAAAAAGTTCAGTGCCGACGGAGAAGCAATGACGGAATTTTGCTGCGAACTGGGGACCATAATTACAGAAAATAATCTACAACTTTCTCAAATTTACAACGCTGATTAGTTCTTAGGTGAAGTTTTATAAATTGTTCACCAACAAAGATGCAATTTTTACAGTGGCAAATCCATGGAATGGATGGAGTGAAGAAGACTTTTTTACAAAATAATGACGCTAGAGAAAGATGAAAGCATCATGGAATATGATGATAAAGAAACTACCATAGCTGAACTAACTGCATTAGAAGCTGCAAGACGAAGAACGTGGAGACGATATTTATTAAAAGATTAACTAATTATGAGGCTTAGGAAGCTGCCAATGTTTGTACTAGACTATTTTTAGCAAAGAGAACCTTCGGACATTTTTAACACAGCCCAAAGTGACTGATTTTTTTTTCAAAAGCATAGATATGACCACTTTGTGTAAATGCAAGTTAATTTACATACCTATGTAGTTTTTATTTTTCTTATTTAGTTTAAATGTTTATTTATGTAGAAATCTCTTGTTTTTCTGTTATGTATCTTTTCAATGTCTCTTAATCCGTATCACGTCCGGTCCCGTGGAGCACGAATAATCAGGGTCCTACTGTATTTATATTGGGGGAATAAAATGGTAACTAAGCTTTATTTTGACAAATGGACACTGTCTACCATAACCATAAGCTTTATTTTAATAAGAGAGTATACATGTATATCAAAATAAAAAATACAGCAATTAAACAATTTCCTTTTATTGAACTATTGTATATTTTTTAATTCGCGCACATTTAACTTTAGTTCTCTTATAAATATTATCACGAAATATACACATCATAAATACTCAAAAAGAAGACTATTTAACAACATCCCTTATTGAACAGAAATTGGTAAACATGGCATATTTCAAGGTTATTTGTTCAAAATATGGCACCTGATAAAGTTTGGTAAATTCGAAATGTAAAAACTTTACCAACAGTTTCGTAAAGCGAGAGAAATCTTTTGTACCGAAATGTTTTGAGAAGTTTATATATGGACCACTTCGAAGTTAGATTAAGTTCTTGCAATATGTATATCAACAGAATCTACATTCAGCTTGGAACAAACAGTGACATTTATGAAGTTCTCCATATATTACTGTTTTGTTAATAACTAAAAAATATCTAGATAATGCTTTATATAGGGTGTGCCAAAAGAAGAAGCGGGACGGTCAAATATTTTGCAAAATTTACTTTGGACCGAAAAACTGAAAACATAACATTTTTCAAAAATTTATCGAATGACACCAAACATGACCACCATACCCACCCTCTGGGATGGCAACTTTGAAACCTTAAACGAGAACCTTTATTTTTAATTGCAGATTTTAATTTCTTATGTAAAATAAGCAACTTTTATTCGGGACATTTTTTCTCATTGTTGATAATTTTCCATTCAATGTATATTTCACGAAATATTCGACCGTCACACTGGCACACTCTGTATAAAAAATGCAACGTGCTCGGTAAAACACTAAAATTGTATCCAAGAATGTTCGGACGATAAAAGTCTAAGAACATTCATCATAAAGAAGGGGGAGCTGTGTCTAAACAAGATGTGAACTACAGAAATGAGAATTTTCTTAGAAAAACTCAGTACTTCTCAAAAATGTATGCACACTTTTCGTATTAGGACTGACTTAAGTTAAGTTGATGTTAAACTAACTATAGATGCTTAATATCATTAAGCAATATCTGGAGTTTATGCAAATGTGAGAGTCAACAACACATACTCCTATATTTTCAAACTAGAAGCCGGTATTCGTCAAGGATGTGATATCTGGCCAACGCTATTCAATATACAATATAGCAAACACATTATGCGCATTGTTTTCGATGGGTGACAAGGAGGAATAGCAATCGATTTCAAAAAACCAGCAATTCCAGCTATGCTGACGACAGAAAAACGCAGCCGGGTTTGCAGTAATAAGCCGTTTCAATTCATTAGGTTCTGTTATCACAAATAACACACAACAAACAGCTTGGTGGATGAGAAGAAGAAATAAGTCGACGCATTACAATGGCAATATTTCCTATGAAAATACGTGAAAATCAATATTAGCGGAATTGTGATTCTGAAGAGTGGTACAGGCCATCACATGTATTTTGGGCTGCAAAATCCCGGCACATTATAAGCAAACGTTGATTTGAAACAAAGGCATCGTACATTATAGCGACATGTTTCTCTATTTCCATTTAGCATAAGTTTATGCGTAAAAATTGGAAAAAATAATTTCATTGTTAAGGAAATGATCAGTTCAGTGACTAATTTTTTGGTGAGTATACCTGGCTCACTGTTTGTCATGTTTCCTGTGTGTATATCTTTTTCTTTCGCATTTCCTGGCCGTCAGAAATTAACGCACAGCATAGTTTAGAGTCGTTAACATGGTTTGAAGTACCGACGGGACTAACTATATTTTATATAAATATTGCTAACGTTGTACATTGTACGTTTGTGCTGGTGAATATTGCACAAGTATCACTATCGTTTCATTAAGGCGTCCCATAGACAATTGCAATCGCAATATTGTAATCGCAATATTGCAAATTGCAATCATCTAGGGCTAATATTGAAGATTGCGCAAGTATTGAACGAAAGTTTGAGCGAGCTCAATTTTTATTGCAGCATAAGTATTTCTCCATTGCATTGTATAGGGACAGTATTGCGCAATCATTTTTAGTCTTTGTTTCGGATGTATTAGCGGAACGTAAATGGAATTCGGCAGGCCATGTAGCGAGAATGCATGACTCACAATGGACGAGTAAAATTACACATTGGAGGCCAAGAACATACAAACGTAGTAGAGAAAGGCCACTTACACGTTGGGCTGACGACATCAGGCGTATCATGAAAAATTGGCAACAAAGAACACAAAATCCCAAAGAATGGAGGAGTTTAAGGAAGGCCTATGTCCAGCAGTGGACGTGATAAATGTAGACTGAATGATGATGATGATGTTTCGTCTAATGTTCAATCTACGCGGGGTCAAACTATTCTCCGACTGAACACGAAAGCATTGCGCAGTCAATTCAATTTTGTTTTACAATAAATATGTGTATTGTACAATGTTATTGTAGGTCTAGGGATTGTCTTAGAGTTAATTCATTGCACAAACCCATTTACTACGCAACAATATTGAACTTATGTGGCAGCTTAGCTGTTCAAATATTGTGGAATCAATATTGCGCAATATTGACCGTCTATTGCCCATTTTTGCAACTCAATACTCAATGAAGTTACATACGCATACGTCGACCATTATATCTGCGCGTGTTCAATTTAAGTCAGATGTGCGTGACCGGGAGAGAGTACTCGGATAAAATGAGAAAGAACACTCTGCTGGATTGCATCGAATGGCATCTAACAGCTTTGCCCCGTCCCTAGATACAGCTCAACTTTGGATCTAGGATTTCAGAAGAAACTCTTCCTCACAGATATAATGGCCGACGTGTAGCTCAATGTAATTTACTGTTTCTAATATTACCTCTATATTTATCTGTTTGTTCAATTCATAGTGACAAAGAAAACTCTCTAAAAACAAGGTTTTTCTAGTTATCGCTATTCTTCAGAATGATAAGTATCATTGGAAAACAATTTAATGAAAAAGTATAACTAGTTGGTAACAAAATCACAACAACGGCTAATATGGAAGCAACATTCCTCTAGTCTAAAAACGGCTTACTAACTTTAGTAGATATTACTAGTTTTGTTGCGAGTAAGCGACAGTTTTACTTTAAAACTAATTTATTTGACGTTTCGATTTTCACAAACTACATTTTGAAAACATTTTCCGAAGTGAAAATCTAGAAGTCAAATAAATAAATTTTAAAGTAAAAATGGCGGCTATTCCCAATAAAAATAGTAAATTGCATTAAGATGCCACAAGAGAATAGCTTCAGAACAATATATAGTAGTATTACTATTCGACGAAGTCTTTTTCCTACTGATATTTATACATAAATGTTACACATATAGGTTTTAAAAATTATATAACTGTGTGAAACAATCAAACTTGTATGTGTATATTTCGTTCATTTGATAAATATAATACCACTCTGTTGTTTAGTCGTACTATATTGACTATACGGAATTGGATTACGAAATGTGACTAACATCACGTTTTTACAAATCCTAATTTTATTGAAAAATGATCTTTAGAGTTTCAGAATTGTTCC